ATTGTTTTTGATGTGTGTTACTACAATGATTGATTTAATTATAAAATGATTTGATTGCTAGAATGAGGAAGCTTGGGAGAACATTTCTTAAAAAAAACAATACATGCTATTAAACATTGTCAGCGGGGTCAGGAGTATTTATCTTTAATAATAAGTTAAACCTCACAGGATTAAAATGGGGGTTCATGCTAGAACTGAAGAATAGTTGTTTGCGGTTTATTTTTTTGATAGATCATGGTGGCAACAACTGATAAACCCAAAAACCTAGCTTAAATACATCCCTTAAGAGGCCATGTAGATCCTGTTTTCCAAGTATTTTTGGTTAAAAACAACAACAACATTAAAGAGTCTTCTTCTTAGGCAACATGGTATTCATGTTACTCAGTTTGGTCTTACTGAACAGCTGAAGTTGTGGCTGGTTCTTATTTCTTTTCGAAACTCTCTGATTGGGAGCTGGTGTTTTTGACCTCTTCATTGTCGTTGGTTTCTTCCTTCTCATCCTCCTGAGTCCCTGTTATTCCCTGGAAGTCGTAATCGGGGTCAGGGAGCTGCAGAGTGTCTGAGGTTGGACCAGGGGATCTCCTGGACTGGAATCGAGCCAGTCCTTTTCTCCGCCGCCCCAGTCCTTTAGGACTTGGCAGGCTGCGGACCGATGCCTTTGAAGTCTGCCTGGAGAACTGGAGTGAGAACTGACGCCCCCGTGGTTTGGTTGGCTGACGATTATGGCCATTGACAGTTGTCCACCGAAATTCTTTGGGCCCAAGTTGAGTGGGGGAACAACAGAGAGAGGACGCAGTCCTGGAAATACAAAAAGAAAAAAATTAATTCTCACCTAAAGGGCAAGTCTAAGATTATAAAATACTGGGGTATAATTATTAAATTTTCAAAACCTTTTATCTCAAAATGAAGTTTGATGGCCGAACATGGAGTTGAATATCGTTAAAAAGGACACTGGCTGATCACCTTAGGGTTTCTGAGCCTGGGGCTTCATCAGTGGGGGAAGGATTCAGGCCATTCTGAGGTTTGGTATACGAATCCACATTCTGGCAAACGTCGCCACATAATGGAGGGCTGATGACAAGCTGGGGGAAAACAGAAATGGAGCTTTCCGGTGAGGGTGGGTTGCTGTTGACCTCCCTTAAGGTGGACAAAGTGTCCATGGAAGGCTGAGACATGAACAGCGAGGACAGTGGAACATTGATCCCTGGTCCTGCATTGACCCTGGATTTAGAAATGACCAACAGAAAACATAAAAGATCAGATCATTGTAATCTGTGGACAGCTAGATCTTAATATATAAATTATTAAATAGGAACCTTTGGTACTATCAGTAGGATACCAGTTACACATCTATTCATGCTTTAAATATTCTAATACCTGACATCTGGGAAGAAACTGCCAGTTGCATCACTGCTATGTCGTTTGAAGATGGGTCGAGGGGGTCGGAGGTCAGGAGGTTCCTGAACACTAAGCAGACGGCGGACCCGACCCAAAACCTGCAAACATTAAAAATATACTCAGAATCTGAACTTAAAGACTTTATCATTAGTACCTAATGTCAAAGCTTTAAATTTAACAGGTTTCAAATTGTTCTATATTTTTATTCTTCTGCTGTACAAGAGTAGCTATGTATGATTCACAGTTCAAAAATCATTCTTATGTATCATTTACTGGACTTTGATGGTGTCCTTCAGTCCATCTTACCTATCAAACCAGCCATCCCTTTAAGGTCACCATCCCTATAAGCCAACATTTTTCTGATTGGCTGCCCCTCATAAATTAACAGCTTTGACACAACGTGGGTGGGGTTTCTGTGAATCTGATGACCAAAAAAGGAACATCCCTTCTCTGTGACATCAAACAGGTCCGAGTGCAGAAAAAAATCACCAGCAACAAAGCATTTAGAACAATTTAAAGCCTTAGGGTTTACCACACAGGGGTTACGGTATTTTCTGCACTATAAGACGCACTTAAAATCCTTTAATTTTCTCAAAAATCAACAGTGCGCCTTATAATCCGGTGCGCCATATGTATGACTTCTGGTTGTGCTTACTGACCTCGAACCGATTTTATGTGGTATACGGTACTCAAAAAATCTGTCAAAAGATGTTTTAGTATGACTTTGGTAAGCTAAGAAGCCACACCACTTGATGGATTGTCGGAGCATTATGGCTACCATAGTCAGGAGTCTCGCGGGGTAATCTCGGACCAAAACGCGTCCGCTTCAGGTCCAAAACACTGCGGCATCACTGAGAGTTACAAACTGTCTAAATTCTTTCATCTTTAATAAAATGATCAGCGTTGCTGCTTTACCAGATGTAACAATTAAGTTTAACATCCAGGCACCCATCAAAACAGAATATGTAATGTTCTGACTGAGAGATTACTGAAAAAATTAAAACGTACAGCTCTGCTATCACTTCCAACAGACCCAAGACAGAAAACTAAACAGCAGTGACTTTTGTAGGTTTACTGAAGTTGGGCTAGCTGGTATATAATGATGTGCCATGTGATCGCTAGCAACACAGCTATGTTAGCATAACATAAACACAATGAAGCTGGGGGATGAATGTTAACTTTTTTCCACTCGATAAAAGTTAACGTGAGGGTTCCCGATGGTTAGGGGCAAAGGCAATCGCATGGCAGGATGCTGTAAACGGACCAAATTTCACTCAGGAGAACAACTGAGATAATCCATCTACAGTACGAGGTTGTCATAAATATACTGCAACAATATGGGAATAGAGCACCTGCGAGAGAATTCAACATTAATGAATCAATGCTGGAAGTGGCGCAAGCAAGAAGAATGAGTTGAGTAAAGTTTGTCTTATCAGACTGTTTTGTTTCGCTTAATGCGCCTTTTAATCCGGTGCGCCTTATGAATGAACACAGACAGGTTCATCGACAGTGCGCCTTACGGTCCGAAAAATACGGTACTTGTACATTGGCCTTCCTATTAAAAGGTTGGTTTAATATGAAAATCCAACACTGGAATAGGACATATATGGCAAAAAAAACAAGGAAAAGTATAACAAATCCAAAATAAGGTTTAAGTTAAGGCCTCATGATTAAACTGTTTAACAAATAATATCTCTCAAGGTCAACCCCCTTATTTACATTTTCACAAGTACTTATTTTTCTACTCTCTGCAGTTTTTATACTTACCTCCTTTTTTCCAGAAATCAATTTTAAATTAAAAAATGAAAGCAATAAACATTTTACCGACTCTTGGCGCCGCGGCAAAGTATAGTCCTGTTGCCGCTGATGGTCGTGGCTAACATCAGTGTCGTCAAACTGCAGGATGTCCGAGAGACTGGAAGAGACATTGAAAAAGACTTTGTCATGCTGATAAAACTTCTCTAAAAAAAACTAATTCTATAACAACTAGCACGTCTGTGACAATTCACCCACACAGACTGAGCTACAATGTGAAACATAAACTCCAACACGTCCTTCAGGAAAAATGTTTGTTCTCTAGAGGATTATAACTGTGCATCAGCCGCTAAACTTGATCCCTGACCCCATGTCGGTGGTGGAGCCAAGAAATGAGGGGATGCAGTAGTCTGCAGCAGCCAGCGTGTATGGTGGCCGTGCATCGCAGTCATTCCAGTAAATGTCTTTGGTCATGTGAGGCATGTTCATGTGCATCTCATCCACTGCCAGGAGAGACACCTGCAGGAACAGGTAAAGAGGAAGAATGAGGCGTGTTCAGTTTTCAAGAGACATTATTTATAAAAATGTATTAAGTAAGATTAAATTGGTAAGAAAATCTACCAATAATTTAACAGGAGAATCTTTCATAGTCAAATCTAATCCGGTTGATTGATTGTGCTTCTTGGAAGAATGGATATTATTATATAACTATAAGAAGGAAGAAAACTGCCTAAATCACAACTGAAAAGAGCTCAGCAATATTTTTAATTATTTTTTTATACTTAAAGGAAGTAAGGAATTTATAAAAGATGGCACAATATGTTGTATTAAATATCACATTTGCTTTTCTTGTTAGTTTATTTTCTAACCTTGTTGTTGTTTCTGATTTATTTTGTCACATTTATTTATTCATTTATTTACTGCTTTCATTTTCTTCTTATTTACCAACTTGTTCAATGTTAGTTTATTTCTTTATTTCTGTTTATTTCTTTATTTTCCCATTGTATTTCCCCAATAATTCACAGATTTTGAATTACTGATTTATTTATTTTTTGTTATTATTATCTTATTTTTTTCTGCATTTTCTCTTTTTTTTATGTAAACAAGGGTGTGATTTAAAGTATAATATGGGCTAAATGTTTAGCCAGAATGAAAAATAAAACAGATTATGAAAACAACAACTTTGACCAAAATCAATAAATAAATGACAAATTAAATGGTCAGTAAATCAACAGGATGTAATACAAAGAAAAATGAATGTAGAAGCTCACTGAATGAGAAACATCAAATGTCACATTTTAGGAATCAACTGATGTCCTTATATATTTTTTCTATTATTTTGCGGTCTGTAACGCATTCTTCATTTGAGTAATTTTTTCATGAATGAGTGAATTGGGTAGTTTTGGTCTTTTATATGTTTTTGTGATTTCATATTTGCAAATATATAGTCATAGTTCTAGTTCTAGCATGCTAATAAAAGTTTGAATTATTTATTCAGAACATTAACTGTTACACAAAACAATGGAAATGTAAAAACTATTTAATTTTGATTTCTGTTTTCTTATAAATACAAAAATCCATGTTGTAAGCTTTGTCATTATGATTTATTTAGTGCGGATTGATGTGGAAATTCATTTAGAGTGAAATGAAACAGAGTAAAAAATAAAAGTTTACTCTAAAACTTGCTTTCGAGTAGCTTGTGTTTAAATTGTGTGTAGCTGGGCCTCATGTGGCATCATGTGCTTGACTTCGTTGCGTGATGTAAAAATAAAACCAAGTGTGGAAATGTTCCAGAGTATATTTTTGTCCAGCAGGAGAAACGTGTAGGCAGCTCCTTTCCATCTATTCCGTTCTGCTCCCTGACAAACCACAACAGTTTCTCATGTTCCCTTTCTGTCCACGATAAAGTCAAAAGTGTTTGTTCTACCAGAACAGACCCTGGAAATATAAGAGACTTTGAGCCTCCGTCATTGCTGACCTGAAGGTTCCTGTCGATGATCCAGTTTGCCTCAAAGTCATCGTCATCATCGCCAAACGGGTTGATCAGCTGCTCTGCTACCTGCCAAACAAACAAACATGTCTGAAAATCAGTCAAACTAAAAACACAAAACTGCCTATATGTAAAAAAAATAAATATTACTACTGCTCATGACAATCGAGATGGCCGTTGTCACTGCTCTGTAGGTTTCCTCGTCTCTGTTTAAGGGATTTTTCAACATTGCTTGCATTATAGTGATACCAGCATATGTATCTCCAATTTCTACAAAATATTGTTTTTGAGAGGATGTAGCAGCTTTAGTTTCTTTTACCATGACACTGAGAACAAAACATTTATAACCACACTACTTGTGACACTCTGGCTCATGCAATATTTCTGGCTCGTCTCCACCAAGTAGATTATTATTAACTTTGTGTTATTTATATAACAGAAATACGTCATGAGATGAAAGAGGTCAGCCACAAATGTACTGATGTGTTTCAAGCAGAAGAAAAACAAGATAGACACATCATTTTGTGTTATTAAATGTGTTATTAAATAATTAATCTGAAATATCTCATATAAACTTGGTCTTATTTCCCAATCAGCATCCTCCTTCTGCTTTTATTAATTGTACTCCTTCCATTAAAAATACATTTTGTTTGTGTTTGTCTACATTTGAGTTCCAATTTTGTACTGAAGCATAAGAACTGTGTGTGTTTTTGGCTTATTACTGCCTATCTTATCTCTGCATTTAGTACTAGATAAATAAGTACTTGAATTTTTGAATATGCAGTCATGTAGATTACATACATTAGCATATGTTACCCTGTCTCTGTGAAACTGTAGGACACATCTTCCATGAAAAATATCTGCATAAATATATTTTGTTGTATAACAAACTTGAGGAATAAAGAAGTCCAAAACTAAATTTTACTTTTGCCAGAACAGCACAAAAGCCCCTCTGCAGGCTTCCAGACAGGAACCAATCAGACAACAGTGGGCTTTCACAGAGGTGTGACCTAATGAGACATGACACACCAGGCTTGATGAGTCATGCAAAGCTACTCCGGTGGAGTCTCTGACTAAAAATATAAATTCACAAGTTTGTTTTACATATTCACAAATTGTAGGAAAGAATTTATTTGACCTTAAGCCAGCCACAGTAGAAGAAGAACTGCAGCAAGGTGAAAACGGGGACGTACAGGTCAAGGTCATGACCTTGGTAACCACGGGTGTGGTCAAGAAACTGTCGACCAATTAGACAAGCAAAGAAAAAGGTGTAGACAGCAAGAGTGACAACCTAAAAGGGGAGAGAGAGTGAGAGTGTTGTTCAGATTCCTTCTTTTCTCTGTGGGCGATTCAGAGCTCTGATTCAGTTAGTGTAATGATTATGATGTGATTACATGAGCTACATCCGTATCAAACATGCCGCTGTGGCAAGTACGAAACAGAGAGGACGGACACAGACCTGTGTGTAAACCAGAGGGACACCGACCCAGTTGTAGCCAAAAAGAGTCGCACACCAGGTCCTGAAGCGATTCATTTCCTAACACAGAGAGGAAACAGCAGTCTTTCCCCAGCTTCCAGCAAACTGTGAATTTCTGTAACTCAGTAGGCTAGTTGGAAAAAGAGTCTCATTTGCCGTTCTGGGAAAGCTGAGTGTCACATTACCTACATGTCTCCTTTATGTGGTCACAGGCTAACGGGGGTTTTAGGATCTAACTGGCTCCAAAGGATGAATGAGTGTGCTTTGAGTGCTTAAGAGCTTTTTCCTCTCTAACAGCATATGTCTGTAATCAAATGGCAGCGTTGGAAAAAATATTAAGGTTATCTGATTATACTGATCTTTAATGGCCATACTGTATTGTTTTTTACCATGATGTTATCATGATAATGTAAGATATAAGCATGTAGTTAAATTAATAGTGATACATTATGAGACGTAAGTGGCTGAGCCCTTAAAACCACTGGGAAAGTGTTTACAGAGGTCAGGTCTAATGGCTGGTCTGTTACGCACTTCTACAGGATCAAAAATCTTTTTGCAGCTGTAAACAGTATAAAAGATGGACATAGCTTCTGGGTCTGACACCGGTCAACAAGCATTTTGGTACTGGCAGTTTTTCACCTGTGCTGTAGCAGATTTTACTTGCTGATGCCAAATGTAAAAACTGTTTTTGTTTAGCTTGTTGTGTTTTGTAGTTATGAAGTATTGGACAACTTCAATGACTGGGCAGAAACACCGATGCATTTCAGCATTTAAGAAATATGTTTATTTTCCAGAAAAGTGAAGCCAACATTAAGGAAGGTGTTTTTGTTGGTCGTGAAATACGTGAACTGATGTTTGATGACGTGTTCAAAACGAAACCGAAGCCTAATGGATCATCACCACGTGAAGCATTCATGTAGCATGTCCAGAATTTTCTTGGCAATCATGGAGCAGAGAAATTATCCACAGCTGAGCTTGTGGATAACGCGCTGAACGCATAACAGCTAATAAGTGCCAAAATATTAATGAAGATACACGCCTTACATCTCAACTTTCTTTCACCAAATCTGGTTGATGTCAGTCTCGAGGCTTCAAAATAGGGCTTCCAAAGATAGGATGTTGTCATAGAAGCTATGTCCACCCTTAGTCAATATTGCCCATTTCCAAACATGAAAAAGATAAAATAAATAAAATACCCAGGCTAATACTTTAAGCTTTAGTGTGCCCCAGGGAAGGGATTTGCTAATAAGTGACTAAATTATACTAATGATAATAAACGTCTTCATGGCAAAAACAAGAACCTGTGGTGGTGGTAAAGTCACTGCGGCGTCGTTCATCTATGCAATTTATTTCTTGTGTTTGAATTTATGCTTACATTGCTTACATTACATGCTTACAAATCATAAAAGTGTTGTGAGTTTATGGAGATTATGTTGCTAAGCAATTTCTATGAAGCGAACCACGGCGACGCTAACTGCCCTGTCGGCCAACAACAGTGACACATTATCCCTGCAGCGTTCTCTCGCCATAAAAGTGCATTTTTATAGTCACGTTGAGAATGTTCTGCAGGTCGATGCTGTCTTGGATGCGTCCTTCCTGCCGAGCTTTAGACGCCAGGTTGGAGAACCAGACAACAGGGATCCAGTACTTCAGGTGAGGAGAACGAACGTTCTCAAACACCTTCCTCTCCTCAGGTGTCATGAAACCTACAGATGGGGAAAAAACATTGTTTAAAATAAGTCAGTGTTGGATTCATGTTGATAGACTATTTAAATAAAATGATGGATCATATTGTTCCAAAGCAGTTTCAGACATAACGCTTCCATGCAGACAGACGTTTAGGTTTTGTTGACAGAGTATCAGCCCAAAGTACTTCTTTAATTGGCCAATAACAAGGTAGTCCCTGGAGTGATATCAGGAAGAAATTTAAGTGGCGAGGAGCCGAACTCTGACTTTTATATTTCTAGTTAAGACACATTAAGATCACAGTGTGCTCATTTTGAAACACAGCTGATACACACTAAAATACTCAGGCTCTAACCTGCCTCGACCACATGATCCATGGTCGGGAATCGTTTGCAGACAGCCGTGCTGACGGAGCGGAAGATGAGGAGCGATGTGAGGTTAACGTAACGTACCAATGTCCGACGCAGCAGGCGGCCATATTCGTCTTTACCCTGAACACAGCTGTAGAAAGATAGAAAACAAAAATGGAGTTCGTGATTATCGTCAGCTAACCACACCTTATTCTTCTTGTGTATTCAGGCTCGTTTTGCACGGGGCACTGAAGTGTTCCCAAATCACTAAACAAGACAAGGTAGCTTCTAAATAAGTTAATTATGGATTCTTAGTGGCTACATTTGTCTATCTTTGATGTAAAGTCTGTGAGTTCCTGTCTGTGCCTGTAGAGGGCAGTGTTTTTGTAGTGGATACTTGTGGCCTGTAGAGGGCACATTAGAGATGTAGACTGTACCTGGAGATGTGGAACATGAGTCTGTCCGGCCAGGGCAGGTTAACAAACTGATTCCACCACCGATTCACCACCAGAGTCACATAAAAACCTAAAACATTTATATTCAGTTAACACATAATAATTTGCAACTGTTGTGATAATGCAACCTATCCAAACAATTGAGCTCTTTTACAGCAGTAAATAAATAATCATGTCATGCTGACTTACAATGATGTTGCTGCAAGCACATTTAACATGAAGGACACATTGTGAGAGGCCCTAACCCTAAGAGTTTGATAGAGATCTTATCAAACTCTTATGATATACTTCAGTATTCAAACACAACACATGTCTGTCAGTCAGCGCTAAGCCCTGTTCTCAGTGGGTAATATTAGCTTGGCGTATCCTGAGATTATTATAATAACACTCTGGTTCTTTGATCCCCTGTAAATCCAACAAACTGTAAAGTGACAGCCAGGTGTTTGTTAAAATCTTAAATCTTAACCACCTGAAATATATGGCAATGACCCAGTGTGCACACATTTACAGGCGTGTATAAAGGACACACAGTGGTACTAAATACTGTCAGTGGACTTGAGTCTCACACACAGTTCACAGTTGTAGCTTGTAAACTTCATGTTGCAGTTTGCAAAATACCAGAAGTGCATTTATTTCTTTTTCTGCCACATATCCAGACCTCCGTCCAACATAGTCCAGATATATCCAGACCTCCTCTGAGGTCTTCTCAGCTATCAACAGGTATATCAGACAGGTGGATGTATGATCTAAATGTCTGCTAGGCTTTACCTCAGCCAAATGAAATTCTTTAATTCTGGACTGTGTTTGGAGCACTTTTAATACAATTATCTGACAAATAACATGGCTGGCTGTGAGGTTTAGTTTTGGTGAGTGAGATTTACCTGGATGCTACTTAGCACTAATCATCAGCTATCTGTGAGTGACGCACCCACACAGAAAAACGAAAATCTATTGAAACTTGAAATTAAGCAGAGAATCAATGGATGGCATTACCTTGATTATCTCTTCTAAAGAGTGTATGTGTCCTCTAAGGACTGATTGGATATATGATGTTTCCTGGTCTATCCAGGGGTTCCCACACAATTTTTCCCGCTGGGAAAACCTCCAGAATAAAGCCCAGGATGCCCAAACTATGTGAAGTGACTGTTTTCAGTGCAATATTACTCTGAACCTGACTTTCTCGTGAGTCCACATTGTATATTCGAGACTCTAAGGTCAATTCACTTACTGCAAGGGCATTTTTACAGTTCATTTACTCTGGTCCAAATCAGTTGATGAGTTTTTAAACTTGTTAGTTTCCTCTATTGTCTGATTTCACACGTAGAAAAATTCAAGTAAACACCACACAAACTAAAATATGTCACTCAAACCACATGGTAGTGTGAAGTCCTCTTATTGGCCATGTGTGCGGAGCGGGAGTGACAGAAACAAAAACAGGACTATTTTTTGGATAATTCTAAAATTCATATTTATCTGGGAAATGTTTTGAGCAAAACTGTACTCTGCATATGGCTCCAAGTGTGATTAACATTTTCACATCTGAGTTTAATTTAAACAAAACTAAAGAGCACTCGCTGCAGGACACGACACCTATTTTGTTACATTGTGTTGTTGATGTCATCACAGTCATTTAAGACCATGGGTCATTTTTGTCTGGATACTTTGATAAATTGTCAACTCATGCACATGCATCTCCTGTTTTTGGCATTTACTTTAGTTACTGACACTATTTGTCTTTTATTTTCTGGAAAAACCACATTTTAGGAACTGTCAGGTTTTAATCTTTTTTTCAGTTGACAAACATAGTGAATATGCATCCTGGGATGGTGGTGGTGATGGTGGGTGGAGATCAGCTACACAAACATTCATCCTGCTTTTAGCCTTTTCTCCTCTTTAATGATCCGATTCCATTAGCAGGCTGCTAATGAGGCAACCAAACACCCCCTCTGTTCAGCTCTCCGCTCAAGCAGGAAACACACTTACAGTTATATTTGAGTTTTCATGTCGCTCTTTTTTTATTAGACTTAATTTTTACTTTAGTATAATAATAACACAGGTCGGCTACGTTCTTCAATCCCCTGAGAATCTCTCAAGTCTGAAAGGCATTAGGAATGAAATCTAGGAAGATAATAAAATGTTATGTAATCTCTTCCAGTATCTGAGAATCACTGGTTAAATGATCATAAAGCTTGTTTTTAAAATATAAATATATTAAGTAAAATATAGCAACTAAATATGCTTACTGTATAATTGAGACTTTTCATGAATGGACAAGATGAATATCAGATATGTAACTCAACCATTCACCACAGTGACGTCTACTTTAGTCTGGAAGTGTTTCTTTCAGAACAATCGTCCATGTGATGATTCATGTGTTTTACATGTCATCAGTTCAGATAGTAGTAAGCTTTAAGGTTAGGACCTTGTGCAGACAATGGTGACTGTATAGCACATGGTACACTTGACTCCAACTAAGTCCCTGAACTGGACTCTGCAACATGTTTGTGGAGAATTTTTACTGCAGTTATGTTAAAAAAATTGTGGCTTGCTGAACAGTTAAAATAATAATAATAATAATAATAATAATAATAATAATAATAATAAAGTCTTTTATATAAGCATTTTTCTAAACAATATTATAAAGTGCTTTACAGAAAGCATTTTTAAGAAGTTATTAAACACATCTGTCAAAAAGAAAACAATAACAAAAAAGTTGCTCTACCTTCCTGCCCAAAAAATCCACTACAACCACAGCACTAACACACTCACAGTGGCTTTACAGTTCTATGAAGTCAGACAGAAAGGTCTAACCGTGAGGTTAAAAATGGAATTAGCCTGTATGTTTCTTTTAAAAGAAAAATACTAGAAGACTATTGAAATAAAAGTAAAGCTATGGTTTGTCAGCTAACATACCCAAGACGAAGGTGACGGGGATCTGTTCAGCATATTTGTCACAGTACATGGAAAGTTTCTCAAACAGTCTCTTCTGATCCTCGGAGAGCACAATCCTAGAGGACAGAGGAAACCGTCGTCACTGCCAGCAACTAAGAATCTAACATATGAGAAATTCTTCTGAAGTTACTCTTCAGCCGATCAGAAAGTTTCTGAATGAACTACAATAAGCTGCAGGTCTGTTGCCCAATATGTGCTTCTATTCAGAAATACAAAGTCAGATAAATCTTTTTCTACACAGACATTTTCTGATATACTGTATTAGTTATTTAATATAAAACCTTTAATGAAATTGCATAGAAGGCTCACATCCTGTTTGCCTGGAGTCAGATATGTGGTTACAACTTGATGAAAGCTAAATAGTCAACTTTCATTTGTAGCATATATAAATGATAACTCAGTCATGTTGTTTGTTTTGTACAACAGTCTCATCAAGTTAATTTATTCTGTCATATTATATTTATTGTAGTGAGCTGTTATACTTTATTTAAGATATTTTGCTAAATAATGTGTTCATTGTTTTCCCTGCTGCAATAAAGGAATTTGGCAGGTTTGGGGCTGTGAAATAGATCTTTTCTTAAATATATATGAAGATAGTATCAAAAACAAGAGCCGCTGAGACATAGTTTTAGAAAGAGGAGATTGTGTTACTAGGTCCCACCTCCTGTTTTACCCAAGTCTGAGCTTAGCTGTTGTTGTATCAGATTCTACTAATATTTTGTTCTCACTGATTGGATAGCAGGGGAAAAAATGCAGTGGTCCCATGGATCTGTCAAAAAAAAAAGTTGAACAATTTAGGGCAACTGATTTGGTGGTTTGTTTTGTATGATTTACGCTTTAAAATAATCCCAGTTCATTGTATACTGGATCTTGATACTAAGGTTATGACAGAGAGCTAAAACTAAAAACTAAAAACCAAAATAAAAGTTTTGGAAAATAAAAACTTCAGAAAGAGCTGAAAGATTCAGACAGAACAAAGCTCATTTAGCTTCTTCCCCTTCTGAAACACTCTAAGATCAAACTTTTGCTCACAGAATATGAACATTAATCATTCACAAGATGAAAAAAATGTTTTTGGTTGGCTCATGTTGCTAACCAAAAAGGGGCGGAGCTTATAACCACTAGAGTGAGGATATATTTTGGCTTCACTTCTTGGGACTCATCCGACATTACATCGAGTTTTGAGTTGTATCAGCCACTCTGGACAGTGTAGCAATATTTATTAGTAACTATGTTGAAATTTACAAGAATTTAAAAGAAACACTTGCATGATGCACAGCTGTAATACGACACTGTCGCTTCCCTTCCTGTGACTGTGTGTGTGTGTTTGACCTGTATACGACGCTGAGGACGGTGTACAGCAGAGCAAACAGGATGAACTCTCGGTACAGCAGCTTGTAGATGCTCCCCTTCCAGCGCAGCAGCAGCTGGTGAAAACCGAAGAAGGTGGCGTTGGCGACTTTACTGGAATAAGTAACCGTCATCCTGAGACTGAGGAGCAGACTAAGACCTTCATCCAATGGGAGCTAGTGGATAGTCCCACTGGTTTTCTGGTTACAGCCTGGATAATTAACACCACCTTAACATTATGAACATAAATGATCACTTTTGTTATTATTGCTGTATTTTACTCACAGAAAAATGCCGTTGCTTCCTCCTCAGCAGTGCTCTTCATCAGGCTTCTTTCCTGATTTCTTTTTGCCAAATGCCAACCAAACACACACTCTTTCTCTATCTCTTCCGTTCTCTCTCTCCCTCTTTTCTCTTCACCATGATGCTGTCCAGTTGCCCAGTAATGCCAGGCAGCACACACACACACACACACACACACACACACACACACACACACACACACACACACACACACACTATTCAGAGCTATATTGATGAGCCAGAAGGCTAAATGTAGTCATGTTTCAGCTGTGTGTGTGCCAGCATACATAACATTCGAGGTAAACATGTATAAACAGAAACACTATAAGAGGCAACATGAGGTCATAACACAGAGTGACAGTGAACAATCAAATAAACATAAATGTTTTAATATGACTATAAAATAATAAAGAAAGATTCATTTTAAATCTTTTTTAAAATTTGATTATAAAACATTTAAATACCAAACAGCACTAACTTTATATTTCTAAAGAGGTTTTCCATTTGCCTCGAGTCAGATGAAATTTGTTTAGTGGCATCTAGTGGACACTAGAGCAACTCAACTAATTCATGTTGAGAAATATGGAGGGCTCATGGTGCCAAAATAACAAATTAAATAAAAATAAAAAAATAGGGTCCTTCGCAGTATCTTACCTATTCCTAGGACTGCACTCTTCTGGACAGAGATCTCAGATGTTGTTCCCGGGGTCTGCTGGAGTTACTCGCCTAGCTTGGGGGCCACTGCATCGAGTACTCAGATTACAACTGGGACCACTGTTGCCTTCACCCTCCACATCTTCTCGAGCTCTTGTGCTCCTTATGCCCTACATTGTCTCAGGAGCATCGCTGCACAGCCTACCCTTGGGGTCTTTCCTGGTGTGGTAAACCCCAACCTTTTTTGCTTTTGTGCTCAGAGCGTGTTACTGTGAGGTCATGGTCAGTGTCCCTGTGCTGGCTTTCAGTCCAGGTTTGTCAAGCCACAGTTTCAGATTGAAGAAGTCAGTTGGATGACTCATGAAACGTAGTCAGTATCTGTAGCCAGTCTTGTTGATGGGCTTCAGTACAGCAGCGGGATCCAGGCCTGATCTGCTCTTCATTTTTTTCGTGTTTATATCATGTGAGACAAATGTCTTGGTGCATGTTCAATCATCCGAGGAAGGAAATCCCAAAAAGTTTCTTTTCTTCTGGACGTAACGTTTTTATTGGGAGAAACGTTTCATCACTCATCCAAGTGACTTCTTCAGTCTAGGTGACTGCAGGTTTTCCCAATCTTATAAACAGTACATTTGCATAATGACTGAAACTAGCACCACTGAAGGAACAAAGGGCTTGGAGGTCAGTGGTTGATCAACAATCACTGATGAGGCAAAGCACAGCAGGACAGCTGCTCCTACAGCAGGACAGCTGCTCCTTAAGACAAATATTGTTCCTCTTCTTCTCAGAATCCAAGCTGGGAGCTGGTTCCACAGACGAGGGGCCTGAAAGCTGAAGGCTCTGCCTCCCAGTCTACTTGGATGGGAGGCAAACACATAAAACTTAGCACTGCCGTTCCTGAAAAAAACACCTCTGCTCCAAAACATATTTCAGAAAGCAGTTGCACATCTTTAGGCACAGAGAAGGCCTTCGGTAGAGAAAAACAGCACTGTTTGTTCAACGTGTTATGAGTTCATGTCAGGAAAAACATCACAGAGATCATGTGACATTAAAAAACTCGACTGCAGGAATTTTACAGCAGAAATATTACCAATGTGAGGCTCTGCCACTGCTGCTGGTCACGCCTTATCAAACCTTATCCAATAACTGTACAGTCGCACTGTCCCTAAAACGTCTGTTTTCTTAGAAGACATAATGATAAATAAATGGTTTTAAAGTGCTTTTGTGGATATTTTGTTGACTCCATTTACATATGGGGGGATTTTGACATATTTTTGTCACTGAAGAGGTATGTGCCACCCTACCTAGACCATAAGCCTTTCCTTTGGACCTCTGATGAAAGAAATTACTCATAGATTGATGTCTACACCCATTTAATAAAGTAAAAAGGTCAATGTTTAAAAAATAATTTTGCATGTTTGCATGTTTGTATGTTTTGAACAGATATTCATCAACAGTATTTTCAGTATTTTTCATTAGTTATTATTTTTATGAGGGTTTTTTTTTATTCAGTTAACTTTTTATTAGTATATTTACTTTTAGTTTTGTTTTCGTTAGTTTCAGAGTAAGCTTTGAGTTTATATTCAGTGTAATGTGGGGATATTTGTTTAGATTTAGTTCAGATCCCAGTCTTGTAGAAACCTCTGCACTGCTTGTTCTACTCAAAAATCTAACCAAAGTTAATTCGCTTAGACTGACCTAAAGACCTTTCTCTTGGATCTGAGTTGACCATGGTATCATTGTAAAGGATACAGCAGGAGGTTTTGTTCTATATAGTGGAATATCCCAGGAGCCAAATCTTGGCCTTATTTTATTTTCTATGCTGTTTGGGTCATATACTCTACAACCATGTTCACTTCAGCCATTATGTTGATGTTATGCTATATGGTCCACTATCTCAAATGTCTTCTATGATGTTTAGTGCTATATGTATCAAATCTTCCTTCATCACACCGAACTTCTCTAAGAAATTAATCAGAACGCAGAACGTACGGAAGCCCCAAACGCAATTTCATTGTTCCCTGACAATGACAATAAATACTTAAATGCTTAAATTCAAATACGGAAACAAAATTTTCTGTTCAGAAATGCAATTAAATAACTAATTCAACATCTTAGAAACATAAAATGACTCTGATAATACCAATACTGGCTGTAGGCTTGCCACTCAGATAGACATTAGAAACAGTACTTAAGCTTTCTGTCTTCATCTTTCTAAACAAAAACATCTTTTTTTAAACATTGTGAATGGGTGGATACTTGTTTAAGAGGAATGAGCTAACTTTTATCCACAGCAAGAGCTTTTTTCAATATATAAAATTTAAAAAAGAAATCTCTTAACATTTGTCACAAGCTAACATAACTGAATTTTAAGTTTTAAATTTAGAAGCAGTTATGCTCCTGTATAAGACCTTGCATGTACTGTTTATGTGGTGATTTATTTGTGCATTTATTCCAGAGGGTTTAATATAATATTATGGAAATGCTTTTAATTTTAAATCTGATGAGACACTTGACTCTTTTAAAAAGTGGAGACTGAAATGAACCAATGACTGTCAAAGTAAGATGTTCCAGTCGTGTGAGTTTAAAAGCTGGTGGGGTTCAACGGTTTATTTAACACAGTTTGCAAATACCATTCAGAGTACATTCATCTTAATTATTGGTTTTGTGTAAAACATTACAGTGTGGCTGTAGCATAGTGGCACTATGGGAATCCCCCACATGCACCTGCACACATTGTTTCTTTGTTCTGAACCACAGACCACACCCTATCAGCACAATAACCACCTGCAGTGTCTGAAGAAATGTATCCTCTTTAAGAGCTTTAAAGTCTCTAAAGAACTGTAATGATCTGATAGATCTTGAGCCAATTGCATGAAGAGAAAAAGACAAATGTTGATGTGGATGCTCAGTTATGAAGAGCCCACAGTTTCTTCTAAGCCACAACATTTCTGGTAAATGTTATAATGCAGCAATGATATCATACTTTTACTTTTACTTTCATTCACCTCTCACACTACATGACATTGGCTCAAAGCCTGTGGGAAGGCTTTGTCAGGGGCAGATCTCCAGTCAAAGGTCGCTGAACTCTATAAAACAGTGCTGATAAGATTCACTGAGACGCAGCTGCATCTACACAAACTGGACCGAGCTCAGAAACACAAAGGAAAGGTGAGTACGTATTAACTGTGGAACATTTTTGTGTGTGAGTACACGCATGTGTGTGTGTGTGTGTGTGTGTCGGTTACTTTCATTCACTGCAAAGCCGAGTTAGCTCTACCAGGGTTAAAAGGTTTAATAAGGATGACAGTGAATCGTGCAGCTGTGATCAGAGAGTTACAAACACTAATCATGGATTCATGGCATGAATTTAAATACATTCTGCTAATTCTGGTCAAATATCCAACTGTATTTAGGCCAGAAATGTTGAAGGCAAAAAGTTAAACCCTATATTAATGCGAGCGTATGTCTGTATTTGAGCTTGTCTGTATATTTTGGACTGTGTGTGGATTAAGTCACCAAGGAGGTATGCTGTGTAATCAAGAACAGTTCGAGGAAACTGTGAAAAGCCCAAAACTGCCCTGACATTCATGCCCATGATGAGTGGATGTAAACGTCTGACCACAAAGATATGCACATATTCCCATATTGCGGTTAAAACACCAAATCCGGGAATTTATTTTCTTAAGAACTGTGCTCATCCCTCCAGAAATACTTGAAGAATAAATGCCAACAAGCACTAAACCTGTTCTTGCAGCACATGATCATCCAGCATGTGGTGCTTTATGTTGGGCTTTCCTTTAATTTATCCATCTTATACACATTGTTTTTACTTAGTTTTCTTGTGAAAAACTTTGTTACCAAACTTTGAACTTTTGAATGAACTTTCATATTTGCTGCTTTCACATTTGATGTGGTTGAGCTTCCTTTTACTGTCAGTTTTGTCTAGTTGACAAGTTTGGTACTCGCCACTCTTTGCTCATCGGTAAAGTCCCTGCTGCCATATTCCTCCATTCTTATGTGGGCTTTCAAAAATATTAGTTTAACATTTTTATACATACAATATAATCAGGAGCAGTTCTAAGGCAAAAGACAGTCGTTAGAGCAACTGACAGATAACTAGGTAGTTTGGTCTGAGTCCCTGTTCAGATGCAGATGTTTTTTTTTACATGATAGGAAAATGACTGAGAACTCATTTGTTTCTGTCCACAAACTGAAGGACTGCAGTCAATGCAGGAATCAGCACATTTGTAAAGGTAATGTTACGAGTTCAAAATTGGGGATGGAAACAAGAGAAACACCACAATAACAACACTGGTCCGGTCGGGTTGAGTCAAACGATGATTTTAATGATCACACGCGTGGGAGATGGACACTGATGCAGACAGCCTCAAAATCTCAAAATGGTGGAGCATTGCTCAAACTCTTATAGCCTCTGGTGCCTCCACCTTATCATAAAAAGCCTAAACATTTACATG